CCCCCTCAACGCTTCTGAGTTAGAATCGGTGTAGTATACCTACTATCCGATTATGCCATCGGAGCAATATTATCACAAAGACGAATAAGATCGTCCAATAGTCTATGTCAGCAGTGTATTAAATGAAACAGAACGAAATTATAATACGACTGAGAAAGAGTTTCTAGTGATAGTATGGGGAGTTAAATATTTCCGACCGTATTTATACGGAACGAAATTTAAAATAATCACCGATCATCGACCATTAGTTTGGCTATTCAGCGTTTCAGACCCTAGATCTAAATTGATACGGTGGAGACTCAAGCTAGAAGAATATGATTATGAAATTATTCACAAGGCAGGCAAAGGAAATACAAACGCGGATGCACTAAGTAGAAATCCGATCATTGTTGACTTACAGTTAAATACTGTCGCACACGACGAAGAGAGAAGCGATGATGACGAAAGAGAGGAAGAGATAAAATGAGAATATACTGCAGAAGAAAAACGACAAATACTTTATGAATATCATGATGCGCCGACAAGGGGAGCTCAAGGAGTCGTACGAACTCTGAATCGAATTAAACTATTACATAACTGACGCGGCATAACGCGCGACGTGGAGGATTATATTAATAAATGCGAACTCTGTCAGAAAAATAAACTAAACCAAAAAAACTGCCAATGGTCATTACCGACACGCTGAAAAAACCGTTTGAAAAATGTGTGCTTGATATAGTGGGATCACTACCCATTACGAACGTCCATAAAAGAATCCGTGGACAGAAAATTTGGTTGTATCGGGGTATCATCGCGTTCATAACGCGCCAAATAATTCATCATATTTCCTTCATGGAAACCCCCCGAAACAATGCGAAATATTTGCACCAAATATTTTCCTCCTCAGAGTCTTGAGATACGATAGCACTCCTAGCGCTATTCGAAACATAGGATATCATATCTGCGTCAAAAATGTCTGTATCCAACAAATTGTTTTCTATTTCCTCTTCACTTAACTCGCAAGCGTCGCGCACGGGCGAACTATCAAAAAAGAAACTAGTCGCAAGGAGACATCGTCAAAAGCACTAGTTAGCAATAATCCACGGGAAACAATTAACATTAATATAATAAAAACAGCGG